ACATGGAAAATAATTTGAGAAAACTAGAATATACACAAAATGTACCATATAAATTTTATACTCATATGTTTTTGACAACTGGATATAGGCTCGTTCTTTATCTCCCTTTGGTTGTGCCCATAGAAAGAGAATCACTTATGAGCTATATGTTGCTCATAATTGATTATGGAGAACCATACCATGTGTCTGTTCTTGCTTGAAGTGAAACGAAAGGAAAATGGCAAAAGGAAGAAGAAGATTACAAAAATGAATCAAACAAAATAAGGGGTAGAAAAAGAAGATTACAAAATATTATCCAATAATTACCTCATTCAATTGATACCCACCGCTTCACTTCTTCAATTTCATAAATTTGAGATCTTGTTGTTTTGGTGAAAATTGGGGATTTCAATTCAAAATTTTCAATTCTCTATGGGGGCGTGTGTGTTCAATCAATTGGGATTCTTGGGAATTGGAATGGATTGGGTGTGTGATGTAAATCAATGGCTTCCTTCTATCTTACAATTTGGGCCAAATTTTTTAAGCTAAAGTTAGTAATTGGATTGCTGAAAAAATTGAGACGACCCAAAGTCCAGTGCAGACAGATGCCTGCACTGGACCTTCATTGGGTCCACCCTTGGCTTACATGTTTTAATTGCTATAATCAAAAGCATTTCCTTTGACTATCTCAATATCAGGTTATAGTGACGGTCTTGGAATGCTTCTTTTGGAAACTGTAGAAGCACACGGCAAGCTAGACTGCGAAAAAGTGACTTCCAAGTGATTCAACTAACCCTTAGACCTATAGTGTTCAATTGTGTTCAAATGTGAAATTCTTGATTTTTTTGAAATGTTATAATCAAAGTGCAAGCGAGAGTTGAACAACGAAACCGCCAAACCGAACCGAAACCCTTTTTTTTTAAATCGTTGGTTTGGATCCACGTGGATCCGTCAACGGTTGGTTTTGAACCGAACCAAATCGCTCTGAAGGGGTTTGGTTTAGGTTTTAATTTTTATTCAACCCAATTAAAACTAAATGCATCCCAATTTAAAGTTACCTTCATATTAGACCCAATTCAATTAAATTCAATATCCAACTTAACTAAATGCCCAATTAAATAATTACACATCTCAACTTTAAAATTTAAATCCAATACTTAATCATTTAATACGTGCATGGTACTTTCAATTAACTTCTAAGTTATTTCTCCTTCTTTCAAACTCTAACAATAAATGTGCATGAATTTTTACTATTTGTATTTTTATATACCGATTCTTTATTTTAATTCATGTTCATGGACGGTGTTTTGTTTGTTATTTTTCTATTCTTCATTTCTTTTTACATTGATTTGNAATTTTCTACATATTTTCTTAATTTATTTTTAAATTGATTTGAATAATGGAAAAAAAACGGTTTTGGCATTTTCATGCTATTCTAGGGTTTCAAGATTTTTTTTTTCCTTCAAGATTTGTATTGATTTAGATAACTAATTATAATTTTTTCAAGATTTTTTTCCTTCAAATAATTGCACAAAATAATGCAGTCAGTGACGACAATGTTTTTTTGTACATAATACATTATGTTTGTATAATAATTTTGTATAACATGATTGATTAAAGTTTTTTTTTTATGACATTAATATTCTTTTATATAATGACTTTGATTTCATGTTGCATAATATATATTTTTTTATATAGATAAGATATGGATTCGATTTTAGAAAAAAACAAAGTAATCATGAGATCGGTGATAAAATTCCAATGAATAGTGAAATTGTGAATTTGCAACCAAGTGTGAAGGGTAAGAGTGGACATAAAAAGTCTGATGTGTGAACTCATTTTGATCTAAAGACGGATGAGATTGTAGAATGTATTTATTG